TACAAACGATGCTGTTATTGCGTGAGTTGTGGTTGGAATTTATCATTTGCATTACAAGTGTAAAATTTAATTCCCAATTGCAATTCTTGTAGATAAACTTTATTTATATTCAAACCCTATGATATGAGCTAAACTTTTCCGACATATTATGATTAAGGGTATTTATGATTTATTTATTATGATTGAGGGTACAAAAATAAGATTTGTCTTATTTCCGAGAGTACACTTTTGCTGAGTTCCGAAAATTCCGAGCATTTCACAACTGACATCACAATTGAAAATAAGCATTATGGCAAAGAATTATGCGAAAGACCCATGAATATTAAAAACAACTCAACAATTTCTACTCACATTTTAAAGTTACAGTTACTTTCAGAATTCGTTTGTGAGGATTCGTTGCCTTGCAACCCTAACGATATTACAGCGTCTTATGTCTAAAATGTAGGCTGCCTATACCTTGGTTACTCTGAAAAACCATTGCATTTATTTCCTAAAGCAACAAATAAAATAAGCATCCCTGCCGGCAGTCACGTCGGTAATTTGGTAGTCATTTGGCTGGCAAATGGGCAAATATAGCGCAGAAAAATTATATTTTTAAAGACTCTTCTCGAGATTTTCCCGAGGCTATTGCACTCAGGTCCGGCGGGAGTGCATATTTTGGACTAACGATGCCATCAGGGGCAGGAATATAGCGATACAGAACCTGAGCAGTTCGGCAGGGGGATTAGGTATCACGCTTCTAAGATCCTAGCGCTTGGATGATGTTCATTAAAAACGCTATTTAGCTTCCATCGCCTGCACCGATAAGAGAATATTTGCATAATAAAGTGCGTCTTTGAGGTACCCGTTAAAGGTGCCAATAGTGCAGAGTGTTGAGATAGTCAATGATACTTAGGATATATGTTGAGATAACGAATGGTGTTTAGGATAATGAATTTGCTTTATAAAAATCGTGATAAATATTTGTCGTACATTGCGGGAGTATTTCATGCCTATGTGCTCCTAGGAGAACCTCAAAATAATCGAAATTAGTTTTGTCACACAAAATTCAAATGCTTCTTTTTTGCATAATGAAATAACAGTTCTAATATTATTTTATAGTCGGCGATGATAGTAACCAACATTTTCGCTGTGCAGTTATTTTTTGTTTACCCTTATAATCCTAATACAATGCTAAAGTAAAGCATAATATTTCATGGTTTATAAAGACGTGTTTTCTTGCAAGTTTTCGCATTTATGTCCAAGCTTGCCATATCCATCAGAAGTTTTCTGAAGCATCGCCACTGAAGGGAGAGTCTGCTTCATCATGCGCTCATTATCAACGTCCCAAGGCGGAACACGTTGAGCTCCAGGTTCATGAAGCCGCGCGGAACACGTTGAGCTCCTGGTTCATTGAGCCTCATGGAACACGTTGAGCTCCAGGTTCATTGAGCCTCGCAGAACACTTTGAGCTCCAGGTTCATTGAGCCTCGCAGAACACGTTGAGCTCCAGGTTCATGAAGCCGCGCGGGACACGTTGAGCTCCAGGTTCATTGAGCCTCGCAGAACACGTTGAGCTCCAGGTTCATGGAGCCTCATGGAACACGTTGAGCTCCAGGTTCATTGAGCCGCGCAGAACACGTTGAGCTCCAGGTTCATTGAGCCGCGCGGACCATGTTGAGCTCCAGGTTCATTGAGCCGCTCGGAACACGTTGAGCTCCAGGTTCATNAAGCGAGAGGGTAAGAGAGAGGGTAAGAGAGAGGATAAAAGAGAGGGTAAAGGAGAGGGTAAGAGAAAGGGTGTAAGGGAGATTGGAAGAGAGAGGGTAAGAGAGAAGGTAAGAGAGAGGGTAAGAGAGAAGGTAAGAGAGAAGGTAAGAGAGAGAGAGAGAGTAAGAGAGAGGGCATGAAAGAGGGTAAGTTTAGGCAAGGTACAGGGAGGTACGCGTTCATAAACTCCCCCCCTCTCTCTCTTCACCCCCTCTTTTCTAAGGGACTAAGAACACAAGGGCGTGAGAAAATAAACTAAAAATACTCAGCGGAAAATAGAGGGACAGAGAAGGTGGAGGAAGAGGGGTGAAGAGGTTGAAGAGAGAAAGAAAGGGCAAACTGGTAAGGAGATGTGGCTGTGTGGGGAGAGGGGAACGGAGCGAGAGGTGGCGGAAGAGGTGCGTCTCTCCGAGTCTTATTGATCTCGTGCGTGGACGGTCAGTCCCTTAGCCGCTCAACCTCCGCCCACTGCATGACATCGTTCAGCCCCGGGAGGTTGAAGAAAAATTAATGATTTGCTGGTCCTTTACATTAATTTATTGTAGAGAAATTGGGACTAGATATTTAAAGAGAGTCCAGGAAATTGCAGGAAAGAACTTGGTTGTCTCGCGTCGACTTCGGGGCAACGGACGTGCGGACGATGGATGGTTTAGGGCGCGGCTCGTCGACCGCAGTCAGCTGACGGCTCACGTGGCGAGCATTGATCGTCTGCCGCCGGCTCCACGACTGCAGGCACGGCGCACGGCAGGTCGTATGGCGCACTGCAGAGACCACGGCACACGGTAGGTCTCGTGGCGCACTGCAGAGACCACGGCACACGGTAGGTCCTGTGGCGCACTGCAGAGACCACGGCGCACGGCAGGTCGGCTCGTCGACCGCAGTCAGCTGACGGCTCACGGCAGGTCGTGTGGCGCACTGCATAGACCCTGTCTCTTATACACATCTAGAAGAATATTTAATGAAGCCAGGACATCGTAAGAATTTTGTAAATACGATGATGTGCAAATTGAACTAATAAGAAAATTATTACTGTTCATTATAAGCTACTCACATCAATGTTCGTTTAAAAGGAAAATAATGATTTTTGTTCAAATTTTCATAAAATATATAACAATTTTGATTAAATATAGCCGTTGATCTTACTTGTTAAATCGAAGGTTCAATTAGAATGGAAAAATAAATAAATTTAAATTTTATGGCAGTCTAGAATTTTAGTTGAAGAACTGGCATTGTCATTGTTCGTATCGTGTTTTTGTCCCTGCGCTGTTAGAGCAAACTAAACTATTGAAAATTATCCACTCGGTGAAATCGAGTGTAAATATTTTGTATAAACATAGGCCTTGACTTTACAAAGCTTTGTTTGGCGCAGGCAAATTAGAGGAGTTTGCGGTGCCTGGCTTCCCTTGACCTAACATCTTAACGAGTCTCCCCTCAGCCCTCGGTAATGTCGTGGCCGTCACGCGAGCTGCTCAGTCGCTGAGCATAAAATGTTCCTAGAGTTCAGTATCAAGAATAGAGAAATCCTTAGTAGACTGAATAAAACCTCTATGACCATGAAACTTGAGTCGTCACTGCTCAAAATTCAGGGCCTGACCGATGAAAACTTCAAAGAAAACCTTTAAATAATTTTCTGTGGCGTATCATATGACGAGTAAGCTCTAGTTGATGCAGTACTTAGAAGTTTTGGACTATAATGTATAATACAAATTAAACGATAATTGAATGAGCAAGAATTGTGCGTATGAGGAACTAGACTTTCGAACTTCAAATAAATTTAGATTCAATTACGATTAGAGAAACTTTTGAGATTTGTATTCGCTTATTGGTGTAGCAGACTTTTTTGATATTCGGCACCAGTTGCAGGAACGAAAAAATTTTCAATTTTGCGAGCAAGGATTTTTTATGATAGAACGTAACAAACGTTAAAGTTTAAAGGCATTAGTTCACGAGGAACGTTACAGGTGATGGAGTTTCACGACAGGCGATAACCACGACCGCAAGCCGTGCAATACCACACACGAAAAATGTAATGACACGTCATGTATTGTGACACGCGGCAAGTAACATGGAATAAGAAACTTAAGTTGTCGGATCTATTTTATATATTTTCAGTATGACTCTATTGCAAATTCATTATTTCATGTCTGTGTTCATAAATTTTATGTACAAAAATTAAGTTTTCATGAAGCGAAATCAACATATAAAAAAAGGAAATTTTGTGTTAAGTAAAGTTTGAATGGCTTGCAACGATAGCAATCGTATTCGCGTTTAAATATAGCGCATGAACTGCATTGTTTCGAAGAGATGAACCAAAGATGAGTGTATATAAACTGATTGGTTACATTCGAAACAAATTCAACAAATTTAATGAGGTAACAGCAGGACCTTCCATCTTTTATTCGGAGCATCAGCAGATGTGAAAGCACTTTTGATTTCGATGGTGAAAAAATCACATCGATAGCAATTATCGTTGCTGCTATCGCGTGATGTCGATAGCGATAGGACAATCTTTTACAATTGCTATTTGCAGTTAACCCCTAAACTTTGGCGTGGAGCCTCAACTGATGCAAGTATAACTTGTAGGATCAAATGATTAGAACCACAAAAGCTTCAGTTATTTCCCGTCTAACTAGTAAAACGATAAGATCGAGCAGCAATCGGGAGTTATTGCATACTCTATTACAGGTGATATCTTTTACTTTGTATTATAATTTACTGCAAAGTATGATGTAATTTGCCGTTGTTGCTACGTAAATCAAATGTGGAAAAAGTATTAATTAATAAAAACTTCCATTTGAAATGAGTGAAAGATTACGTAGTGTTTTGCACGGTAGAAGCTTTAAATAAAGCAAGTAGGTTCATAGGTTGTGGATTTAATGGAAGCATAATCATATTTAAAAATATGTATTGAATGTAATGTATGTATGCATATCGTAAATACTAAAAAAATGACTGTTTAAACATTAAAACAAAATAACTATTAATGACGCTGAATCAAAATCAGAAGAATCAGAAACGTAATGCTACAGAACTTACCAGATGATGGATGGATGGCACAGAACGATTCGTCGACATAGACGATGGTGATAGTGATGATGATGATTGAGCACTACACGAGTAAGTAACAAAGCAGACACCCTAGATGGATGGTGTGAAGCACTACACCACAATAATCACTACACCTCGACACTGACATGAACAATGATCGGTCATCACGACACGCTTACTAGGTGCCTGCGAAACAAGCTTACCTTTAGTGATTTTACTCAGGATGGTGTCTTTGTGGCGGTTAGATTGCGGGTCCGATACCACGATGAGCAGGTAACATCCCGACAGGGGCGACAGCGCCCCTTCGCCTCTTGCCGCCGCCGTGGCGGCGGCTGGCGGCGTCGGGGATACCGGCGGTGGTGGCTCAGGATGAGGCGGATCAGCCATGGACTCTTGACGTGCTGGCAGCGCGCACCAGACTGACGGCCGCTGCGGCAAGCGGCCCTGCGGCGCAACTTGAGGCCAATTGCGCCTGCGCGGTGCCGCCTCCCTCAAACGGAGTGAGCAGCTATGTCGTGTCAGGGGTCCTGAGCCCCCCTCCAAGCAGTGAAGACGGGGGACGCTTCATGAGAATGAGGGGTGAGAGAGGCCCCCGTATGGGGACTGATAGTCTGCAATCTCATGAACGCCGCACCGCCGCCGCCGTCGCCGCGCACGCCATCGAGTCCCAGATCTTAACACGGGCTCGTATTCCGATATTTGCTCTTGGTCTGCCCGATGCTTGGTCTGGCGCCCTGAATGTGGTGTTGGCAAACCAAAGAACGATGACCTAGTACGTCTAGCAACGTCGTGAGTGCGTCACTTCAAGCACGTCCCATGGTTAGGTCCAAACTTATAGTCATGGGCGGGGTTGTCGTCTCTCTCGCTCATACTTTCTCTCACTCTTTCTCTCTCTTTCTTTCTCTCGCTCTCTTAATCTGGGAAGGAAATATGTAATGCAGATAATTTACCATTTACTGGGCATACATTCACGTCTCAAATTTATCATGATATCAAGTTAGCGAAATGATCAATTTTTTCGAACATATAATTTTTCCTTTGATTAAATTCTGGTCCTAAATTTTTCCAAATCTGATCACAAGTTAAACATTAAAACTTATAACTTAAACATTATATATTATAACTTAAACATTATAAACAGTTATAAACAGCAGCCAGCTTCTGTTAAAGGATTTTCCATGAGGTTCGGGAAATTGAGCATTAACACAAATTCCCTTCAGTAAAACATTAACACATGCCAGACAACATCCGATGCGATGAGGTAGATGTTCTTCCTTACTGCACCTGATAGTTTTATTAAATAGATATATTTATTTTCTCTTTATTGTGCATCAGATAGCATTCTAGCCAGCTCCTGTAAAGTATTTTCTTTATTATTGTTATTATCCATATTTTATATTTAAAGTATAGAGCCTCAACGCTGGCCTCCGGCCATCGAGTGGTCCTCAGTCCTGAAAGGAAACGACTTCCTTGTCCTCGCGTGGCCGAGGAACGCCTGAATTTTGTTAACTTCATTCCGGACGATTGACTCCATTGCTATTCTCCTGGCTCAGCATTATGCAAGATCTTGAAGAATCCTGAGATCAAACTACGGTCAGTAGTGCTTGTAACGATCTAAGTTGTCATTTAAATATTTTAAAAAAAATTTTCAGGCAAAAGAAGAAGGGGTTTTATGGCTCATAGGACAACATTTTTATTTGTCACAATCTTTCGAGAACTGTATCTGGTTTATAGTAAAAATTTACCATGAGTGGAATGGGAAATTATGTTTGGAAAAATAATGATTTTTTAGTGTTAATCGCGTGAATTTAAAATTTTTATTGAAATGTTGCGTGTTTCAATTCAATTCAATGTTTAAATATAACTGAAAATGAAATTCATGATCGAAATGTATTAAAATTTGACATGACGAGTCTATAATCAAATTGGAAGTTGAACTAAATTTTTTCGTCCTAACGTCATAGCCTGAAACGCAAATTCAAATTCAATTATTATGACTGTCATTATTTCGAGGCCTGTAGACTAAGGCATTTCAGAGGGAGTGGAGGAGACGCTGAATTCCGTATTGTATCTTTTGGAAAGTCAGGGACTTTAATATTTTAGACTTACATTTATTTCAAACACAATTGCGATTGAATCTAAAAAATATACCAGAGTATATTGCCTGAAAATTTTTTCACGTTTGAAGTGAATATCATTACAAAAATCCCTACACAAAATAACCTTTTTTAAAAGTGCCAAGAAATCCGTCATGTTGAGCTTCATCTGACGGAGAAAAATGTCCATATAATTTTGAGTGATAAGTCTGTCTAACTGCGCTCCTCAAACGAAGTTATCTAAAATATGTTTACGACTGACGAAATTAAAAAAATTAAGTTTCTATATAACGCCATATTTTTTATTTATGCTTCGTGGAAATATGGCGTCCAAATCGTAACTGGAGCAGCGAGCTGCCAGCTCCGATTTCCCGTCACATTTTTCACTTCAATTTAGGCGTCATTCGCGACGTTAAATATTTGAAACTCAATGTCAGTTGGCTTGTTTCCGCTTGATTTTTTTATCTAAAATGAAATATCGAGAGCGGCTCTTGACCTTTTAGCGCCAGGTGGGAAGATCAATAAAAGAGGATCGATGGCGGCGGACAGCCTCAGACTTCGTAGATTCATTTAGGATGCAGCCTGTATCATGTTTTTACAGCATTTTTTTTGTTGTCACATCATCACATCATGTATTTACAGCATCTCTTTTTGCAGTTACATCATTACATCATGTTTTTACTTCATCATATAATTTAGTTACAGCATAACATGATGTAGTTATAGCATCACATCCTGCAGTTACAGCATCAAATCTTTTAGATACATTATCACACATTGTGGTTATAGCATTACATCCAGTAGTTACACCATAACATCAGGTAGTTACATCATAACAACCTCTAGTTACATCATCACATGCTCCAGTTATATATATAACAGCCTCTAGTTACATCATAACATCTTCCAGTTACATCATAACAACCTCCAATTACATCATAACATCCTCTAGTTACAACATAACATGCTCTAGTTACAACATAACTTCACATCGTCACATTATTATTTAATTACTTTTTAAATTTTAAATGCAATTATTTATCCCAGAAGCTTTATTACTGGAAAATATTAAGCGTCAAAGTTTCAGTAATTGTTAATCATGTTAATCACTGTTGGCTCATATTGATAGTTACAGTCTTGAATTAGGCTGGCGATATGAATTTTTCAGTCAATAATCTTATAATACTGTAAGCTAAACCCTTTGAAACGGATCACATGTACAACTAAATTAATTTACGTTTAATTGGCTGTTATATGGTAGAGAGGTTTCTGGGAGTAAGCCGTAAAATCCAGTCCCTATGTCCCCCTTGGATTTGTTGAATATTCTGGGAATTAATAATATTCGGAAGACCCAATTACAGCTTTTAATTAATATTATTGTCTTGCATCAGCTTCAGCGAAATGGGGATCGAGGTGCTCGAGAATGCGATGCTGGATACTCAATGCATTCATAATTAAAATTTGCTTGCATATTTTTTCTCGAATTAGGCTTCATTCATGCAGACTTGTTATATCATTTAATGAAAAATAATAGTATATTCGGGTAATACACATGATAAATAATTGACGCAGATGAAAAAAATAAAAAGGATGAAAGAAAAATAAAGTTTGAATTGAAGTTGTCCTCAGTGATAGCTCGGTGTTTGTTAATTGTTGTTGAATCATCAGACAACTGAAAATAATAAAAAAAAAACAAAGTCAATTTAGTGCATTAAACGTGAGGTTGGTGATGACTTGCATTGATATGGGTTGTTCATTTCGAAAGAAATAGGAAATTGTTCAAACTGATTTTTTACGGTTTTCCAAATCTTGTAAAAAGTGTTGCATCCCGCCCCTATCGAAACTTGTACATATTCCACGCTATAAATGTCAACTTGCTGTGGCATTGGCCGAATTGGTTTTATTCGGTTTTAGGTGGTAATATTTAGGTTTGAATTAGAGCTTTTCGTTAATGATTAGCCCTAAATTTGATTAATTAGTGCTAAAACATGAGCCTAGGTAATTGGTGAAATTTTGTTCGGGTAAAACGAGAAGTGAACCTAAGCTACCCAAAATGAGATACTGAAATGTTTGTTTTAAATCCGTGGATTTTCCCTCCGGGCGAACGTAGTAGAAAACATTCTTGTTTGTTGAAGGACATGCTAAAAATCATTAGGTGATTTAACAAGATGAGAAATTTCCATTAGATAAATCATACATTGTTGAGTTGCCAAAAGCGAAAATGGCAGCAATAGTAATAGAAAATTGGTAAGGTGCTGATATAAACAATAAAAAAATGACCCATTTTATAGACTAGTTCAGACAATTTTCCGCTTCACAGAAAAGTGACAATTTATAGAAATGACTCGAATAAAAAATAAAGCATTACTACTCCATTTATACAAAAAAGATTATTACTTTCATATACCAAAAAAAGGCTGAAGTCTAAATTTTTAGAAACACTAAGGAACTGTTACGTCCGGATGCAAATTTTGTCTGAAATACATACATGAGTCCGCCGCATGCCTAACGACAATCGAAGCTAGCATAATCTCAACTCTACCAGCAAATAGAACTTGAATCCAACCTGTAGTTGACTGAGTGATTCTCAGGGGAGGACCTTGTTTACAGTCAGTATTGCGTGCATTGGTTGTACACATCCATGTGTACTCAGTGTTGTACATGAATAATGTCAGAATTGGCTGTCAGATGTCCACGTGTGCTGAATGCAATACAAAAAGTCAATTTTATTGTTATGTTGAAATGAAGAAACAGCGTTGGAACGTGCAAGGCTTTTGTTGCGAAATACGGATTTTTCTTCACATTGGCTCTTGAAAATGACTTCGCATTTGCAAATCTCTGCTATTAAACTTCCAATTAAGTTTTCATAAAAAATTCATTAAACTAAATTATTAATATTTTTCACATATCAACGCCTCGACAGTTGACCTGAAAAAATTTCACTTCCTAGGCGTCAATGACGAATACACGTCGCCAGAACGTTCATCGTAACGTCGATTTTTATTGTTCAGTATTATTTAAGTGATAAACAAATTAGAATTTTCAGTGCATCTTATATTGAAATATATACTCTATTTATGATGCATTATGGAGGCAAGAGTTTAAGTTTTCCAATACACGATACAAATTTTTCAGGGTCAACAAAATCTCTAATTTATTTGTAGAGAATTTACCTAAGTAAATGGCGTAGACTTTCTCATAAATATGCTGAAAGTTACTTCGTTATGAAGTTTGTAGTAGCGCAGGCGAGCTCTGCATTGACATCCTGGATACGGCGGATATTGGAAGACTGGAGAGGCTTCTTTATCAGG